CTTCCAACCTTAAGCATTCTATGATGTAGGAATGTGTTCAAGCTGCTTGAATGTATCTTTATACATTGCAAACATATTTAAAGATACTATATGAAGATAAACATATAGCATATGTTTGTATGTTAAAGCAACATAAGTAGCTTTAAGTGCCGGAATCTCATTTAAATAGAAAAACAATACAATTGTAACAGGAATATGGAAATGGGATACATATCTTGTGAAGTGAAGCTCATACTCACCTATTCTATACACTGAGCAAACATCTGTGATTGATGTTTGTTTCAATAAATGGATCACTTCTTCCAAATTTTTTTCCTTTGAAAAAAAAGATAGCTCTTCTGCTTCCAGAAATTCCACCTCTTGGGGTCTAACAAAGAAAGAAGCAACTCTGAGAACACCTCTGACTGCTTCAGAAGCTGTCATTAACATTTGTGCTTGGTGCAGAAATTAATACAGTCTTTCCACTGTGCTACATTCTGTTGTGTTCAGAATTAATAACAATCACAATCAAGCATACATACAAAACATGATAGCTGTGCATGCATATTCCATGGCTTCTGCTTTATCAGAATAAGTTTTATCTCTATCATGATATAGCATTTTGAGAATGCATTAACAACACAAATCCTTAAGGGTATTAAGTTTACTACAAAAAAACAGTGACAGTCACATCAAGTGGACCTACAAGCTACATCTAAGAATTCCTTATCTTTCAACATGCAAACAGTCCCAGCAGTAAAGTGTTAGTTTTTTTACATGAGGATAATGGATGTTAAATAGAATTTCCATTTTTTCCTGCATTATGATCAAACATAAGGGGCCCCACTTGAAACAAGTTACAAACTGTATTGAGGGTACTAGCAAGAACAGAACTTGGAGACTTTAAACAGAACTAAAAAACAGTGAAAATGAAGTCTGCCAAACCAGCAAAATTCCTTGGATCCTGTGATTCAATACAGTAGAGACTGATCCAAATATGAGCAACTATTGAAATTCATTTCCCCAATGAAAACACTCAGGTACATATTGAAAACATTTTTCAACACTTAACACTTCATAATACCATTTCTTTGCATTTTTGAGTAAAGCAAATTATGACAATCCTCAAAAGAAGTTTTGATATTCAATATTTTAAAGCTTGAAACACTTCCTATGCCTTTTTAGTGTACACGTTGAACACAAATATATCACTTACCTATTTCCTGATATGTCCAGCTTAACATAACTTGTCTTTACAAAACCTATTTGACCAGTAAACACATGTTTTCCAACAAACCATTCCATACATTCAATGAAGTAGCCAAGGATTTCAATTTTGTCCCCTGCTTGGAAACTAATCTCTTCAGGCCCAGTACTTTCATAATTCACTGCAGCTAGGCAGAATCCTGTTGCTGTGTAACAAAAATTTGCAGATACAGTAATTTAAAAATAAAAAGACTTCTCATAAAATTGCAAGTCAGCAAAGAAGCATGTTTACCCAAAGATGTTCCTGGGACTCTTGAACTGCACATGTGGAAAGTTTTAAAGCACCAAAAGCTAATCAATTTGCTTTGAGCACTTAAAATGGTAAATAAAGGCTTAAATTTCCTAACTACCCTGTTCTCCACCCTTAGAAAGGGATTTCTAAAGTGTTTGCTAAAGAATTGCTTCAGAAATTGCTGCTTTTCCTTCTCATAAAACTCTCATTTGGACCAGAGAAAGAACATTTGGATAATAAAATTCCTATTGGATAAATACACAGTTACATACCAATCATACAGCATTTATGAAGCAGGGAGAAGAAAAGATGTATTTACTCTCTAACCACTCTCTCATCCACTCTGTGTTTCTCTAGCAGTGCTAGATGAAAGAATGTACATGTGAGAAAGACCCATGAGAATCACATTGGTGCATTTGCTTTATCCCCCCCTACAGAGGCATTCACTAACTACCCTTCACTACCTTCTGTATTTACTGGGTTTGATATTCAGGAGAAAACAAAAATACAGGAATAAGCCTTCAGAGGTTAAGTTAGACATGTCTAGCAATATGTTTTGTAAAAACCCTTTGAAATTAGTCCTGTGTGATATGCCATAGGCAGACTAATGTTCTAATTTTACCTTTGAAACCATTCCGTCATCCTAGTAAATGAAAGATGACATTTTAAAGATTTCAAGTCTGTCCGAAAGAAAGCATAGGATACATTGATATTTTTCTTTATTACTGAAGTTTAAATAGAGCTTCTTACCAACTTGCCTGATGGATTTAGGTTCTGTTTTGTAAGTAAGATCAATAGGCTCAGAGTACACTTTAAGAAACCATCTAAAATTAGAAAAAAGAAATAAATGCATAGAATACTTCAGTAAAGGTCACAACAGCAGTGATACTTCAAATTCATTTAAAAAACAAGATTCTCCACCCATCAAATACTTCAAGTTCAACAGTACACACTTTGAATATAGCTATATTTTAAGCAGCACTGATAGTAAAAGCAGCATTACTTTTTTGGACTTTTTTTTTTTTTTTTAAGGCAGCAATTACTAGCCCAGACATCAACTTTAAATAAACTACACTAGGGAGTTGGATGGTTCTTGCAAATAATTTTGAGTAAAAACCATCACTAGCCTGCTATTGTCTGTATTTCCAGGCATCCTGAAAATCGCAATTCTCAATTATTTTATTCTAGAAGTGCAAATAGCCCTTATTTGAGATTTAGAAAAACATATCTAATTTGCAAGATGGTAAATCATCATCTTTAATGATGTACTGCAGCCATCTGAATTAATTTTGTTCCATATCATGATAGAAACGAAGAAAGCATTTGCTCTCATTGGTAGATGGATGTTCCATAAGAAGCTACACTTTAGAGGCAGCTGTGTCTCACCAGACATGCATATGAAACAGAAGCATATGAAATAAAGTCAGATACCTACTGATGAAAAGGGATCAATGGCTCTGAAGACACATTAAACATGGTCATGTCACCATCTCCACATCCACCTGATACATCTTCAGCAAGAGCCCCATTCTCACAGACAATGGGAATTTCATTGTCTGTAGCCGTTATCTTTCTTATCAGATTGTCAGGACTTAAAACAAAAAATACCCCTAGGAAAAAAGCAGTGTGACAGATGCCATTTTATTGTAATGTTTTAGTGTCACACAGGCTTTACAATCATCTTCAAGAGCATCAATAACTTCCAATTAAAAAAACACATAGATTTCAAAAGAGCTTTTTGAATGTTTGTCAAATAAATACAAACTAGATAAATGCATGAATAAGTAAAAATGCAGAGATGTTCTAAGGCATAAAACCGTTTTCTGCTGCAACATTTTATGGCAAGTTACCTTGCTATACATAGCAATACTGCCCAAAGAATAGAAGGACTGGGAGGAACATTTCTACTGCACCGGTCAGCCATCCATCAGGCCCAGCATGGCTTCGACAGAAGCAGTAGATGATGCTCTTTCTATAAAGCAGATGACCCTGGCCCCTCTGCAATCCATTTCCCTCAAACACTACCAGGACCTGGAGCAGGTTAGAGTGTATATCCCTGCCTAGGCCTTTTATTTGTGGGCTAGCTGTACATCAGTTTCTCTAGTTGTCTTTCCATACTGCTGTATTCTCAACTCCATATGTTCGTTCTTCTCTTTCTGGTGCACTTGGAGTCAATAGATTAAGTAGATCTGAGATTCAATAAACAATAACTTTTTTTAAAGAAGCAACTTTACTTAATCCTTTAAGTTAGTCTTAGTGCATGCAGTTTTTCCTACCTTCCTGTACTAGCAGACTTCTGTACATCAGATTTAAAGAATTCTCATTTATACAGACTTCAATGCCTGTTTCTTCCTCTTCTTCAGAATAGAGCCAGAAAGATGGATCTAGGAATAAATTCTCCATGCAGTGACTTATAAAGCCTAGGAGAAAAAAAAAAATCTTTAGTGCTGTAGTTTAACTAAAGAAAAACACTCTGAGAATGGAGTTTGTATTCAGATAATCCAGTAGTTGTTTAACCCACAACATAACTGTCTTTGCTTTCTAGTTTGTCAAAATTGCATCCACTGAATCACAGACTATAGCTAATTTTGGTGGTTTGTGCTCAAGCTACGTTAAGTGTTTAACAATTTTTCTGTCCTTGATACCGTGAAAAGCGAAGACCATGCCCTGGCCTGTCTTGGAGGAGATTCTCTGCAGCCCCATTACTAAGTTCAATAACATTTATGTGTGTGCAGAACGATAAAACAGAAGCATGTTAAGCTGTGGTATGGCAAAATAGCTTTACCAAGCGAATAGTAGGTTAGAAACTTCCATATTTCTTCAAAAGTTTTAAATGTCACTATTATCAGGTCTTGGTCACTGTGAATAGACAGCAATCTAGCCGAGAGTTCCTAAAATAAAATAAAAAATATTTTAAAATAAAAAATATTTCTTGCAATTATACCAATATCATATGCAATAAGCCAAATTTCTCATTAACTAACATGCTGAAACAACATATAATGAAAGGGAGGGTAAAACTCATCCCACATTTTAGCTATATCTTTAAAAACACCTGTAATAGTCAGAACCTGGTAGCTTCATTCTTGTTCCAGAGGAAACACTGAACATCATTTAGGATACATTTCCTAGCTTACTCTTTCTGTACATTAAGACTAAATATATTAAAATGTTATTTTTAAAAGAATGCATTAAGATCCTCTCCTCTTCAGGACTGAGATTAAAGTATATGCTGTAAACAGATGTCAAAAAGCTCAGAAGCTTCTCAACGTGTTCGTGTTGCTAGGATGGCATTAGATTTTGTGGTTTAATAAGATGAACAATAATCACTGTAAATTATAATGAAGGATTATCAGGGATTTCAGCAATACTAAGTGCAAGCTACGTAAACTTTCAAATAACTGAAATACAACATTTTAATGGCTTCGAGCCAAACAGCCAGAACTTGCAACTGCTTGTCTGATTGCACTTCAGCTACATCTTTAAAACTGGGGCTCTCCAGTGGTGCTGGTTACTGTCTTGTGAGAAAATGTAAGAAATTGTGACAATCTGACTCAAATAGCTGAATCGGTATTTGGGGAATTAATCAGATACAGTAACTTTATACCTGTAAAGTTTTCTATCATTTCCCAGTACCCTGTACCCTTGTCCCTATCTGTCACATCAAACTTGCAATGCCTCTTTAAAAAGATGTTGAGGGATTGAAGAAACTGATCCTAATTCCACAAAGAACTTGTCCCTCAAAATTATGCAGACTAAGTAAGGGAGCTTGATCCACTGTTTTCCTGACCAGATTTTATATCTCTGAGTTCATTCTATTTATTTTTAATTCACACAATAGGTTAAAAAACAAATTCCTCTTGGAAAACAAAAGCCTGATTCAAGCCTCCTCCAACAGGCATCCCTCACTACTGCTTTGATCTCGTGCAAGCCCCTTTCTACACCAGATTAAGTATTAACAAAAGCCTGAAATCTATTAATAAATTCCCAAAACATGCTAAAATCTCAGCCTCGGGGGCTTCATGCACTTCTCGATATCAAAACAATTCTAAGGAATCTTATTTTTGAAATCTTGCTTTCTTGGCAGTTCTTTTCCTGGGCTGTTTCCAGGTCTTAAAAATCCAGTCTGTTTATAGCCTTTTTCCCTGACCACTCCCCCTGCCCTTCCTCATTGCTCTCCTATTCCCTCCCTCCCCTAGAAAGAGACCAACCCTGTGAGCAATTTAAAACTAGTTATCTAGCCCTAGCCAGTAGGATCTTGATATTATTCTTCAAATTTCCTCTTTGGCTTATCAGGGGGCATTCCAGGTAACTTTCATGGAACTGTATGCAATCAGAAACTGAAGCAAATAATAGTTTGAGGGCAAATTAGTGAAGTTTATTTACACTTGATGAAATTGGTGATCCAGTCTCTCAGCAGTCCAGTGTACCTGACAAGTCTATGTAGTACATGGCTTTGGGAGAAGAGCTGTTCAAATTCAAGCTTGCAGCACAGATGAGATGGGACCTGAGCACCTCCCAGATGAGTTCAGAACCTCAGGATGGTAGCCTCAGAATAAACACAACTCATCTCCTGCACAAGTGACTTACACTGAAGACTGCTATGACCTCCCTGCTGTCATTTTCCAGAAGACGAAGTCGTCCTCTTAGCTGTCTTTGGAGCTTGGGATCAGAACATCCACTTTTTCGTCTTACTGCAGTTAACTTCAAGGAGATATCTGGAGAAGGATATCCACTTACAGTACAAGTTTGGTAAAGTGAGGAAGAATCAGACTTTTCAAACGGTTTTCTCAAAAGCAGAGTCTACATTAAGAACCAGCTCTAGAGACAGATGCAAAAAATTGAGCTATTGCTATTTTATTCCCTTTTTTAATATCTAGTAGATTTGATAGCTTGACCTAAAACACTGTTTTGAACAAAGACTTTAGCTTTACCATGGAGGACCTGAATTTTGGGGAACAACTAATACTTTATCCTACTTTATCCATCCCCAAAAAAGCAAGCAGAGTGGTAATTTATCAAGTTCATTCTATAGACACTGAGAATGTGTCCGAAATTCCCAGTATCAAGTGCTTATTTTAAAATTGAGACAAACATTAATAATGATATCTCAAACAAAAAACCTGGAGACCATAGCTTGGCAAGTTAATTCTTAGGGCTAATCTTAAAATGCATGAAAAGAAAAACTTTTTTCAAACTGGGCTGATTCTGCAGTAGGCCAAGAAAAAAAATAATTAAATCTGTCTGGAAGCTCAAACGATCTCCCCAGACAGCCTGAAAGAACATAGATACCTATACTCAAACCTGTCATCCATGAGAAGCTTTTACAACAGCTAAGGATACATAGCCAGCACTTCAGATTCAAAGTAGCTTTATTGAAGATGTTTTCTTTTATACATCTATCAATTTAGCCTAAAAGTAATAAATCATATTTGTAAGGTTAAAAAAGTTATACTTGGTTTTCAGATGCCTAGCACATACATACCAATAATCCTACTCATTAAAATTCCAATTGCAAATGTAGGAATAAAACACTTCTAACAGTAAATGGGATTCATGTACATCCTAAAGTAATCCAACAACTCTGAATTTCACCAGTACTTTGCAAAATAGATAGGCTTATATTCTAAAATGTTGCATCTACATCTTTAAGTGATTTTTAAATATGTCTTCAGAAGTCTCCCGAGTGATTCAAGCCTAAATTAGTCCAGCTCAGTTACAAAATAACATTACCAAATTACAAGATCTCTCAGTTTAAATATGATCCTGTAGTCGAGTAAGCATAAAGAACAAAAGTAAAATTCTTCAAATAGTACTGAGCTCACTGTTAGCTTAGAATAATCAACTCATTTCCTTTGAGGAAGTTAAAAAAAAAGATCATCATACAGAGACTTAAATTTATTTTACATACTTGAGTTGTGCAAGTGACTTTATCCTAGCTTTATTAATAATTCAGCATTTTCTTTTGAGAGCCAGGAGGACCATTCAAGAATAAATACAGATAAATACAGTATTTAAAGCAGTAGAACCCATACCTAAAAATAAGCAATGATCTCAACTCACACTTTTTTTTTTTTTTTTTTTTTTCTGTTATATTTTGAATGGAGAGAAAAATTTAGGTTGCTGAAAGTTGTCCTATTTTAGATGGAAACACCCACCCATCCAAAATTAACCTGAAATTCTAAAAGTTAGATAACAAATGTGGCGATTAAGACACAGCTAAGGTTGCAGCTTATTTACCTTTGTGGGAATGCTTGCTGAAGGAGAGATGCTATCTACTGGGGATAGACCACCAAAGCTATGGTGTCAGAATTCCACTTTCCATAACTTGTCTGTTGGAGCTGCTGAGGTGGTGGCTCTATGGACCTCTATTTTCATATAAGACATTTTCTCCTGCAGCTCTGCTTTTAGAAAAACATAGGTGCAATTAGTATAAAGGCATAATGTTAGCCTTCCTTTGAAGGCATCTTTTGAAGCTATATGAAAAAGTAGAGGCAAGCAGATTGCAATTCATAAACACAGAGTTTTCCTACTGATTATGAAAATAGGCAGTAACTAGTAAAGCAATTGCCTTTAAGGTGAACTGTGAAACTACAGCAGCACTAGAAGTTTAAATTCCCAAGCATGGCACTTGGGCTTTGGCTCACACCAAAATGAAATCTGTCTGTAAAGTAGCTGAAGTCTAGGCTCACAGAGTTTAACATGCATTAAGTACAACTTCAGGTCCAGATTTTGTTCTAGCTCTTAGTTCTAGTTTTGCTTTCCTGTTTAGTCAGAAATAGAAATAGATAGGGCAGTTGTCAAAACCATGACAGCATGTCATCACTTTGATCATCATTCAACAGTGGAAAAACAGAATTAGCAAATACTTTTGCTAGACAATTTTACCATTACTATTATTTCTATAGTGCCAGAGGTGGACTTTACCTGAAAGGTATTCACTGAGAACATGCCAATGCACACAGCATGTCCATGCCAGAAATACAGCTGTTCTGTTGCATTTCATGATTATAAAAGTATTTCAGAACGAAGTTCAAATGAAAAACATGTGACAGTTCTGACTGAACACAGCAAGTAACATTTAAAAATACAGCAATTTAAAATATAAAGAAAAAGTAAATAGCATAGTGACCAGGAGATAATGATAGGTCTCACCCATTCGTTCTTGCAAAGGATCCTTCTTATCTTCATTACTGACAACACTTATGACAGCATTGGCCTCCTCACATTTCCGTTCAGATGTCCAGCTTCCCCGCTCCACATTTTTCCTTTCCAAATTACCATCTTGCTTTCTCTCTGGACTAGCAGGGAATCCCTCCTCCATAATTGCATGAAACCTCTGCACAGATGCACTGCCTTCCACAGCTGCTGCCTTCTCCATAACTTGCAATTCCTTACAGCAACTCAATTCACATTAGAAACCTGAGGAAAAAAATTATAGCATATTAAAAAACTCAGAGTACATGAACATTTTCAAGAGCTCTCCCTCGCCTGTGAGGGGAATTTCTAATTGTCATAAACATGAAAGGATTGTTGAGCAAGCTACCAAGACAGAAAACCCCTTCTATAAAGTATCGAGGGACAGAAAACAACAAAGGATATAACACAGGTAAAACAATCATTGACAATTGAAAACATAACTTCTGTTTTTAATTTTGATGGATAGTTGAAGTGGGATTAAACAAAACTTCAAAGAATAAAAGCAGTGCTTGAAAACACAGTAGCTGGCTATAAAAGAAGATACAGATACCAAAGATACAGATGGTGATAGGAGGAAGGCATCACTGAATGCAGGAACGAAGGCAAAGGAGGAAATGGCTCTGTGATAAATACCAAATCACAGAGGTGGACACACTGGAATAGATGAGAAGTGAAGGAATTTGTCATTGCTACACTTGAACTACCATTTGTCATTGCTGCACTTGAATTATACTCCTGGTCAAGAGATTTTACCTTCACACAGGGAAGAGAGAAAAATCAGTTATAAAATATATCATCAGGAAGAGTTCTGAAATGAACTCAAGTTTCTCATATATGCCTTTAAGAAGTCCATTTACCAATTTCTAAATTTTGTTTAAATCCTCTCAGGAGGGAATTGTTGCCTGACACCCAAAATCACACCAGAAGAAAGCTCCTACAGTCAGGTGGCATCACTGCCTTCAAAATAAGGCAAAGGTAGATTTGACTAATAGTGACAATCCAGGGCCTGCGGTGAAATGTACTTGTATCCATTGCTAATTATTCCTTCTTGGCCAGCTTTAACAGGGAGCCTCCCAGGGACAGCACTTGTGCACATTAACAGAAGCAATGCAGAGGAAAATGTCAGTGACTCACCAAAGGTGACATGGATGGAACATGTGCTGCATACTTAATGCAGACAAGTGGGCAGGTTTTTAAAGAGCCAATTAAAGAATGAATCCTGTGAAGAAAACACATTGCAGGAAGGCACAAAGATGCAAATATCTCTGCAGTGAAGAACTCCTGAGGCTGACAGCTGAGTCAAGCAGCAAGACAAGACTTATTGACATGAACACCGGGAAAAGCGATTAGAAGTGGAAGTAGAACACTTTAAGAGGAGGAAGTAGTTGCAAGCTTCACTGCTCCCTTTCCAGTTGCTGACCAGAGACATTCTGCTGATTTCTTAGGCACAAGCTACTTAGGCTGAGACAAGTGGAGCCAGACCATCCTCCAGAACATCAGCAGGATTCATGTAGTCAGCACATGCCATGCTGATATCTAGACCCATGACTTACATGGGCTCTCACATGCCACCAACTGATTATATAGACACAGGTTTGACTTGACTTTAGTCCTGTCACTTAACACATATTCCTCCCAGTATTCCCTTCTGACCTGTCTGGATTATTTTTCCTTTCTGTTCAATATGTAACAGGGTATCCTACCATAGGATACAGGCCTGCCACAATCTAAACTTCATGTTGCTAGGGGTATACTTTGCCATGTACACAGCTGATCTTTCTTAAATAATGACCCATTACAGTAACTACTAAGGTTTTCAGCATTGTGCCATGATTATACATAATACATTGTGCTTTTCAATTTTATGAATTATATACTTTAATATATATTTGGTGTTGATAAAGAAATACTATGATATGAAGAATAATTAAAATCCAGATGCAGTTGTGTAAGTTTCATTGAGTCAGATATTTTTAGATCAGAATTACTAATTTCAGAAGTGAAATTCAGCATTCAGTGTCAGTGTTTTCCATCATTTCTACCTACAAACAAAAAACATCTTCAACAAGATTTAGCAAAAGAGCATACACAACATGCCCGGGACTAGAATTTCAGGAATTCAAAGGATGAGTTAGAGAAGAGATACCAATTAACTTTTTCTGTCTCCTGCTTGAGCACCCACATGTTGTAAAGGTCACATGTATAAACAAGATCATGAGTGAACCTAGCAGAGTGCTGCAAAGGCATAGAGCAAGTGGGGCTTTTGAATATATCAGGATGGATGCAATCTGCTTAAGACTGAGCCATTTTCTTTGATCCTAAACCAAAGGAGAACTCAACATGGGAGAAAAGGAAAAGCAGTATGTCCCAATCACTCTTGGTTCTTCCAAGAGAGAGTGAAAAGTAAATCTCAAAAACATTTGATAGCCATGCTCTTCACTGCAGTCTCTTTTCCCATCCTTAATGTTTACCTTGGCTATCAATTGTGAATCTATGTGGCTCTAACCACCAAAAACAAAAGAGTAAACAACTTGTATCTTCCCATTTCTAGCCTCCATTTCAGAAGTATTCACAGAAAGGTAACACTTCGTACTGCTCTGGGGAAGCCACACTTTCCAAGCAAAGCATTTGTAATGAACACAAGAGGCAGGGCCTAGATGCAGAAGCTGGGCAGCTCGAACTCCTCCAGGAGGGGTTCACTGGCATCGGCCTTCCTTGTGGCTGGAATTTACAGGGCACGTGGCCCTGCGTGGGGCCACTGCGAGCACCTCTCCTGGCTCATGGGTCTCTGAAGGTCTTTCCACCTTCCCCTCGCCCCCTCAGAGGGCAACATGCCAAAAGCATGCCAAATCAGCAGGATAGGGAAACAGGACACTTCTTTCCCACTGGAAGTTAAACAGAACAATTCTGTTATCATGCTTTTTCCTCTGTTGCTACTTCCTTTTCAGTGAGTGCCTCTATCTCTGTTTTTAAACACAGCTTAAAAAAAGAAAACATAGCTTGACATTTTCCATTTCCTTAACTATGTAGATTTAGAGTTTTTCTGCCTTCAAGGAGTTTAAAAGGAGACAAAAACACTATCTGAACACTATTTTTAATCTCCTGCCAGTTCATTCCCATTAAAAATAGTCAAAGAAAAATAGTAACAACTGCAAAACAGGTTTGTGTTTTGTTCTGTCTTGGAAGATATTTCTAATGATGAGATGAGAAAGAGCCCAGGATTTTTAAAACATAGGCTATATTTTAACTAGTTTCTTATAAAACTGCATAAAACCACCACATTTCTCTGTCATGGTCATTTTCCCATTAAGATGCTTGGGAGAACTTAGTAACATTTAGCTTCAAGTTACCTGTGGCAGCTATAGCTGTTCTAGTTTTACAGATACTGAAATCAAGACGAAGAGTGTTTGTAGCATGCAGGAATTCTATAAAGTAGTGAAAATAGCTGGAGGGTCCAGCACTTTATGAATTCAGAGAGCTGAACTTAATCCCTCTTTAATCTACTCCAAGGCTACTACTCATACGTACTGGAAAACACCTGGGTGATATAACATTACTTTAATTGCTCCTCTGTTCATCAATCCCCATCTTTAAGGGCATACTTAAGAGGAGCAGCAGGTACTGTTTCCCTCTTCATTTCACCTGAGCCTCTTGTGAACAAGGTGCAAATCTAAATTTAAAGTCTTAAACTTTAAATCCTTCCAGTCACTGTCCCTCTACCCAGGGGCTGTGGCAGTCCCCAAGTTCTTATCCTTGTCTCATGCAGCTCATCAGGTTCCTCCAGGTTCTCAAATCGGGCAGTACAGTTAGTGAAATCTGTCACATCATCCATCATCATAAGCACATTTGTCTGTGCACACCCCTTGGTCCTGTGCTCTGCTTTGTCTTCTATATGCCCTGCAAACCTCACATGAGACACCCCACCTCAGTCTTGCGCCAGTACTGCCAGAACGGCCGGATGAAAAGATAATCTAAGTCACTTTCCCTGACTCATTCTAGAGTAGTTACTATTCCTTCCTCCTAGCTCCATTCAACTCACATTTCTTTTGCATATTATCTCTTAGGCTCCAAACATCTTACAAATAAGGCTTAACTTCATGCTCTGAGAGTGAATCACAGCCAGGCCTTGACATACACAAAATTCCATCACAAGCATAAATTCAAGAAAACCCATAGTACATGCAACACAAAACAGTGAGTTCCCTCCCTCCCCCCACAGCACTGTTAGGCTTTACAGAGAAAGGTAAAGCAAATCTGTGCTCAAGTTAAACAGACTTAGGAATCCAAGTGCCCTCTAGAAACGCATCAGTGAAGGCATTTTAGGCTAGTTTGTGGTTTTAGATTAGTTAACTGTGTTGTAGTTCATTTTTAGTCTGAAACAACAACAAAAAAACTAGAAAGCATTGAATTTGAAAGATGCAGTAGATTTCTGTAGAAGTTTTAACCTTCTCATGATTCATTTTCTTCACAGCAGCACTGAAATGTATTACTTTTCACCTGCAGTCACCAACTGTACACTCAGCCTGGAATATTAAAGTCCACATTTGATGCCAAAAAATATGGACTCAAATTTACAATTTGGCTAGTGATGAAAAATATTCATTTAATGGTTACTTCTGAAAAAAATCATATAACTTTTAGAAAACTGGAAGTGACATCTACAAATCTCAACACCTCGTTTTGAGTGCTGGATCTGACAGTTTGGCCTATGGCAGGCAAATACACAAGAAGGGAGAATCGCTTCTGTTTCTAAATAGCAGCTCAGCTGACAACATTGCCTAAAGCAGAGAACACAGTCACATTCAGTGAGCACATTCATGGGTCACACTTGTAAGTATTTTTCAGTTATTTTACTATCAATACAAAGTTTTCAGTGCTACTGAAATTATATCCTTAAATGGCTGCAATGGTAACAGATTGACAATAAACCTACAGTCAAATACTAGACCACTAGCACCTGAAATACAGTAACAGACAAGCAGATATAAAGCATTAGTTTTCCTACCTTTTTGGAGAGAGCTTTTGTAACATGCCAGTAAGCAGAGCGATCTGTGCAGTCCTGAGCTCTGCTCGGAGCCAACTCCAACACAGCTCTTCCTGTTTGACCTTCTTATCTTTCCTGTT